TACCAAGTATTTCCTTCTTATCTAAGTAGAGCCTCTCATCAACCTGTCAAGTAGGTATTATCAATCCCATTTGACAGATAAGGATGTTGAGGGTTAGAGCCCTTAGTGCCAATCCATTGCTTTCCATTATGCCAGGCTACTGCCCTCCCCTCACCAGTCCCCATAAGAACGGACTGATGCTTTATAAGAACTTTTTCAATGTTAGTCTCCAAGGAATCCACAACTGAGGACCTCTGAGTCCAAAGGCCCCTCTATGACTCAGGACACCTAGCCAGCTCTCCCCACTTAGGTTCCATGTGGAGGGAGAGCAAGGAGGGGATCTGTGGTCACTGTCACTATCCAGGCTAAACACACAGACTGCCCCATTCCCAGAGCAATGGAGTGGGGCCTTCTTGTGCTACTGCCTGCCTTTAAGAATAGTTGGAAGAGACTGTCTCTGGAGGGGACCTCAAACATACCTGGGAACATCTGGCGCCTATTCCCAGGCCCAGACAGGAAAGGCAGACCTTAGGGCAATGCTGTGGCTAGCAAGGACTGTGGGAGCTTGTCACTTGATTCTTGGAGAGTGAGCCCTTTCCCTAAAACTCTATCACAGTAGTAACCCCAGAATCACCTCCACCCAAATTATCTGCATCCACAGTCCCTTACACCTTGCTTGGATTTGATAAAGCAGATGAATTCTTGCAAGGTGTTGGCCACAAAAGATAGTGAGTAAAATTTCTAACTCTGAAAAAGCAAAGGGAGGCCCCCACCCCACCCTACTCACTCAAGTCAGCCTGGCCCCCTAAAATCACCCCTGGGGCAGAGTTCCTAAGGTTCATGTCCCTACCCCTCTACTTCCTGAGTAGGGCCATATAAGTGTTCTACAGACCTGCCAAGCTGGACTTAGGTGTCAGTGCCCTCTCGGGCTACTCTGGCTGGGGAAGTGCCTGATGTGGGCCTTTTATCAGTGCACTCATTTTTTCAACAACTATTGCTTGATGACTCTGCACTGAGCACTGGCGATACTAAGGCCCAGAGTAAAGAAGGCTCAGTCCCAGCCCTCTGGGGCAGGGAGGAACTGAGACAAACATGCAGGCATCACAGCACACTGTGATAAGAGTCAGGACAAGGGTAAGCACAAGGGCTGCAGAAGCAAAGGGAACAACAGCTCATCAAGCTTTGTGGGCTCAGAGGGCTTCCCTGAGGAGGTGACATAAGACATGACTTGAGGACCAGTTGCAGTTAACGAGGCCATTAGGGGGAACTTGGGGACAGCAGTATTCAGTTAAACAACAAAATCATACTGAGTGTCAAAACTGGAAATAAAACAGACAAGATCACTGCTCTCACGGATCTCATGTACTAGGAGGTCAACAACAAAAAGTAAAAAATAAATAAGCGAGAAAATTTCAGGTAAAGGTAAGTGTACTAAACACAAGGCAGAATGATAGGATAGAGACAGATGGAAGCTGAGCACCCATCTTTGAGACAGGACCAGAGAAAGCCACTCTGAGGACGTGACATATGAGCTGTGTGATGAGAAAAACCAGCCATTCTAAGATCTAAGGAAAGAGACTTCCAGGCACAGGAAACAGCAAGAGAAAACAGTCTTCAGGCAAGAATGAGTTTGGGGCGTTCATGGAACAGAAGGCAGGTCACGGTGGCCGGAGCATCGAGAGCACAGGAGAGATTTAGAAGATGAGGTCCAGGGAGGGCAGGGCCAGATCATGTAACGGGCTTGCACGGCATGGCAAGGAGCTTTGCTTTAATTCTAAGCTACCTGGGGGAATTTAATCAACAAACTTGATCTAATTTGTTCTTAAAATTACACTCTGGCAAATGCGAAGCCCCAGAGAGAATGTGAACAGACCTATTTTAGGGAGCTGCAAGTGGCTCAGTGTGGCTAGGGAAAGTGCAAGGTGGGAGAAGGTGCACTATGGACACTAATCCACTCTTTAAATGGGCTGAAGACTGAATCCTGATCCTAGACACAGACGATCCAGGACCAGAGCCCCAGGAAGATTACGAAGCCCTGAGCTCAGCCACAGCCTGACTCCTGATGTACAGAATGGCCCTGTATAGAATGGCCCTGACCGCTCAGAGCTCTTACCTCAACCCCAGCTATAGCCAGAACCCCAATCACAGACTGAGCTTCAGCCACACTAACAACCTGGGTACTGGCCCTGTTCACACACCAAACCCCAACCCAACCCCAATCCAGCCCCAATCTAACCCCAACCCAGGCTGTGCTCAGACCCCGTTCACAGTCATTCACACCAGCCTCTGCCAGCCTCTAGACTGGTACCCCAGTAAACTGGTCACTGCTTGAAAACTATCCTTATGCAACTTCTAACACCTTCAATGAACAAACCTAGAAATTGCTAAGGCGGCCTGTCCTTTGAGTAAGGGGCTTCCTTGACATCCCCCACTTCTGCTGTTTACAGCCTGGTTTCTCGGTCCCTCACCAGGTCTGATAGGAGCTCCCTCGCTACAAGAAACCCATGCACCTGGATGTTCCCCAGGTCTCCTGCACTCACCTCAACTGTCCGGAAGGAATGCGTGCCCCCTTTTGTCCAGCACTCTTCCTGAAAAGGTCTGGCAGGCTGCACTGAAGTACAGTCTCTCGGACTCCGCCTCCTCCTTTGGACCTCCCTGGTCAGGGTTGTTTATTCTCTGCCTTACCTCCTCCCTCTTTCTGCTTCTCCCTGCTGGAGGGCAGAGTGCTGTCCAGATGGTCCACCAGCAGCTACCGCCCACTAGCCCACTGAGGTTTGGGTTTCCTCCTCAGCTTCTGCATCCTGGGAGGATGTGTCTAGGGGTATGGAGAGGAGGGCAAGTGGGTAGAGAGGTTTCTAGACTCCTCTCCAATGGGCCTGTGCCAGCTGGGACACGTCTGCTGGCTCCCAGTATGAAGTTAGACAGGAAAAATGAGTAAGAAAAAACTAAAAGAAAAGAAACTCATGTGCGTGGCCATGGTCTTTGTGACAGTCTTTCTCCAAATTTCTTCGCAGGCCAGAAGAAAGGCAAAGTATGTTTTCAGGAAGACCCCATGATTAAGTGTCACCCCATTTCCATTCTGAAGGTTTCTTTCTCTCCTGCCGTCTGTCCCACGGTAGACCCTGCTTAGGTCCTTGTTGAGCTCAGTAGTCCCAGCCTCCCTTCCCCAATGTCCTCGGGCTCCCTTTTCTTTTCTCCCAGGCTCTGTGCCTGTGTCTGGCTAACTCATAACAAAGGTCCCCAGGGACAGTGCCTCTGCCTTCCACTCCCTGGAAGAACTTGAAGCTGGGAAAGAAGGATGTAGTCTCTTTAACCCTCCCCAACCCCCAACACCAGCCATATAAGACCAATGCCATCTGGTTTCTCTCTTAAGGGCAAAAATAGTGATAGAACATTTTAGATAGTTAGAGAATAATTTGAATGTGAAACTAAATGCCTTATATGTTAAAATAAGTATAAACTATGCCAATAAATAGAACAGCATGATTTGTAGTTGGTTTCTCCTCATTTTTTATTGATTGGTTTTACAACAGTCAGTTTTAAATTCACAAGACAAGGCATGTTAACTCAAGAATAAAAAAAATAAACAATGGAAAACCAGACTGTTCTAATTCAGACCACGTCAAAATTACTGATTACAAGAGCTTCTGGTGCCTGCAGGACCTGTAGCCTGACACTTGCTGTCATCACCCTAGAGCCATCTCTGCTGCCTCTGTTAACCTCCCATATACTTAGATGATGCAAAAACTTAAAAAAATACCCAGGAGACTTCTACTTCTATCCAAGATGAAGTAACAGGAAGTAATACCCACACAAAGGGGAAAAAATGAGACAATGTGCATGAAACAATGGTTTGCAAGACACTGGACGTCAGGCACTAAAGGGCAGCGAGACAGGAGACAAGGTGTACAATGAGGTGAGCTCTGCAGGTTTATAGCTTACTGTCCATAAACACACACACTCTTACACACACACACACACACACACACACACATATACACACACTTACAATTAGGACATTATCTTTCACCTACATATGACTAAAGATACATATACCACACAAAAGGATTTCATATCACAAATACTATGCACAATAGACACATAACCAAAGATAAACATCACACATGCCAGAAGGTACAGCCCCCCTAGTACTACACATTCCGCAAACTCACACACCACAGTCTACATATTACAAATATGAAGAAAAGATAGCGGCAGCATTCTCATCACGTACACAGAGATACTGCCCACCATTCAGGTACAGATACCAGCGTTCTCACACAGACACACATCACATAACAACAAACAGAAACACAACAAATGTACAATCAGAGATATTACTTTGAAACATACACATGCCAGGAGACAGCTACCACACTCACCGAGGCACAGCTGGAGCATGTTCCACGTGCGCTCTCTCTCTCACACACACACTGAAAGGTACATATGTCCACGTAAACATACCTATGCGCTCACGCCCACAACCAGAATACACAGTGTCGTCCTTATGGAAAAATTGTCTCCACAGAGCCACAAAGATTTACATTGACAAATTTCACATAGAGACACCTGTACCCACATGCATACAGAAACTTAAACACTTCCCGTTAGCTGCCTCCTTTCCTGTTACCATCTCTTTCCAATCACTATTGCCCAAATACCTTCATTAACCCCTGATTATGACTGGGTAACCACTTCAGGGTATGAGCAATAACTTTTATAGGCAGCACAGATTCATATGACTTGGGGGAAAGAATAATTAAAATCATACCTCAAGACTGGAATGAATCATGAGGTGTGAGATTTATAGCCTTCCCATGTCAAAACTATGTGTATTTTTCAGTTAAGAGAGAAAGAAAACGCAAGTCCACAATAGCACAGAGACTGGGGCAGTCATTCTCCAGAATGGTCTGTCCAGACGGGGTCACAAGTTCTTCTGTACTGACACATTCCTGGAGACAGAATGCAAGATCTCTCTAGATAACAGACAGCCCAGTGGGTTCGATATTCCAATTACTAAGTCAATCGATAGGATACAAATCCTCCCATCTTTGAAAGCATTGAGAACACAGGTAGGTATCATTCTTACCTGCCACCTTGTGAGAACATATGGAAGACCCTTGAACGTATCTCCTTGGTCTTGGCTCCATAGACAATGGGGTTGACCACAGGAGGCAGCAGCAGATATATATTAGCCATAACCACATGAAGCAGGGACGTGGGACCACCCAGCCTGTGCACCACTGACAGCCCAATGAGGGGCACATAAAAGACCAGGACAGCACAGAGATGGGAGATGCAGGTGTTGAAAGCCTTGAGTGCTGCCCCCCGAGAGGACAGCTCCAACACAGCCCACAGAATGAGGATGTAGGAGAAGCTAATGAAGAGGGAGTCTGCACCCATCACTGAGAGGATGATGAAGAGTCCATAAACCACATTGACCGTGGTGTCAGTACAGGACAACTTCATAATATCTTGGTGCAGACAGAAAGAGTGTGTGACAGTATGTGTTCGGCAGTATGACAACCGCTTCAAGATGAAGGGCAGTGGGAAGAAGAATACAAACCCCCTGGCCAGGGCAGCTAGTCCAATCTTGGCCACAGTAGGCCCTGTGAGCACAGACGCATGGCGCAATGGGTGGCAGATGGCCACAAAGCGGTCAAAAGCCATGGCCAGCAGGACAGCTGACTCCATGGCTGACAGAGCATGGATAAGGAACATCTGAGCCAGGCAAACGTTGAACTCGATCTCCTGGGCGCCTGTCAGGAAAAGGCTGGCCATCCTGGGCATGGTGGCAGAGGAGAGGACTAGGTCAATGGTAGAGAGCATGGCCAGGAAGAGGTACATGGGCTTGTGCAGACGCCTTTCCACACGGATGGTAAGGATGATGGCCAGGTTGCCCAGGGTGGCCAAGGCATACATAAGACACAGAGGGAAAGCCAGCCAAAAGTGTGTGTCGGGCCCCAGCCCAGGGATGCCCACCAGAAGGAAGTATGCTGGGTGCACCAGTGTTCCATTTGTAGTGGCCATGGCAGGGATCAAGAGCTGGGGCTTCTGCATCTCAAATCCAGGCTCTAGGAAAGGGAAAAGTAGACATAGCATTTGGCCACGGCTCAGGGGAGAGAAAGAACTTATAAGGAAAAGGCATTAGAGCAGTGATGGTACCAAGCAGACTTACTTCTAGTAGTGCCCTAGCCTCTTTCTGATCTGATTCTCCTTATATACAACTCTCTGGACACCCTGAGCCTCGCCTTGAGCCCCTCAAGACCCCAGCACTGCACAAGAAGATTCTATTACTGCCCCATTAATCTCAGTGTGTGAGGGCCCACTCACAAAACATGTAAAATAGTCCTTCATTTTCAGAGCCGATGTTGATGACCAGGGCACCGCTCTCGGCCACTTCACAAGAATAGACAGGATTGCACAGAACTTTCCACACTGGCCACTGCTCTTCTGGTGTATGTTGGGGTTAGGGAGGGTTTGGATTCATAGTTAGAGGTTCAGTCTGTGGTTTCCTTATAGACTCACTGTAATCTGATTTAGGACAGGAAGCAGGAGCTCACTTTGGAACGGGATTCCAAGAAGTTTGTGTTCAGGCCTGAGTAGCGTTTCTCAAACTTCCCTGATAGCATGATCTAAAGTAGTTGAAAATAACATTCATCCAGGTCCATAGAATCAGAATTTCCAAGGGAGGGGCCTGGAAATCTGTTTAAAGAACAGTAAGTTCCTTTCCCATAGGTATTTTATTTTTAATCAGAGAGATTTGGGGAAAGCTATTCTGGTGTCCTAGAGGGTGGGAGGAAGGGATGAAAATGGGCTATCATTTCCAACCCCTAACAAAGAATAGAACAGAATCTGCCATCAGGATCTCTCAAGGCCCACGTGAGAGTCAATCCCAGACCGTGCTTGTCTGGAGCACGACACTGAAACCAGATGCAGCTGAGACATGAAAAGAACATCAGTCCGCGCTGCTGCCATCACTCTCCAGCGCCCGCAGGCACACCACCCCTCCACCCACCCTCCCTGGCGACCACACAACCCTCCAGGCTCTACTTCTTTCTCTACATAGACCACACTGTGCTAAGCCTCCATCCTGAGATCCAGCCATATAACCTGCTGCCACCCCCTTGATATTTCCCCCTCGATGGCCTATGGGCTTCATACTCATCCCGCCCCAAAGAGGACCCGTTCCAAACCTGTGCCTTTGTTGTGCTCCTGGTCTCAGAGAGTGCTGCCACCCAGTGCCCATGTCCTCCAAGTCAGGGCAGCTGGTCTCATTTAGACTTCTCTGATCTTTCACCCCTACATGTGATTCTGTTCTTCCAATTAATCTATTGTAAGTTTTTCTCTTACATGACACACCCTTCCTCCCCTACAACCTCATTCCATCATCCACTCTGCCCTGATTATAAAAAGAGCCTTCCAACTTGCCTTCCTGTCTCCAAATCCAGTCTATTCCAATCCATCCTCCACATCACTGCTATCTAAACAGGGAAACTGGACGTGCCAGGCTCCTGTTTATCAAGTTGCAGGTGATTTCCATAGCCTTCCGGATAAACTCAGCACTCTCAAAATCCCACCCTAGACTGAGCTCCTGCTTCCTGTCCTAAATCGAATTACAGTAGGTCTCTAAGGAAACCACAGACTGAACCTCTAACTATGAATCCAAACCCTCCCTAACCCCAACACGCAGGGCCCTTGACCTTGTGGCCCCAACTTCAGCCCAGCTTCAGTTTCCAGTCACCACCACCACAACCTACACACACACACACACACACACACACACACACACACACACACACTTTTCTTGTAAAGTAATTCCCCTTGCCTTAAGTGCAGAGTAGGCCGCAGGAACTAGGGAGCCCTGTCCTGGGACAAAGAACAGGTAAAACTTGTCATGAGCATCACTGTTTGAAGAAATTCCTTTTTGCGTAGGTCACTGAACAAGGTCCGGGATCCGGACTACTGTAATCCGGAGCGTGTACTCCGCAGTCAGCCCAGCTGACTGACCTAAGGCCCGGCTCCCTTACGCAGTGCGCCCTCCCTCCGTGCCAGTCTCGAGAGGGACTTCCCAAGGCCGGGGCAAGCTTTCCCTGGCCTCTCCTGCCTGCACTGGGCCTGGAGCACTCACCAATGATGCCTCTCCCGCCCATATGTAACTTCTCTGGGGCCCTAGGGGGTGTGAGGATGATTAAGGGTGAACAACCAGGGCTCCCTGGGACAGGCACTGCGCTCAGGCGCCCAAGGCAGGCTGAGCCCTGACTCCTGCCCAAAGGGAATGAGCTCTGTTACTGTTCTTCTGAGGTCAGCTCGGGAGACTAGGGGAGGGAGGAGGTTCGTCGGGTGGACAGGAGAAAAGGAATGACAGGACTGGAAGACAGGAGCTACTGGAATGGAGGCGGAGTGCTCACCAGAAAGCACCCGCCCTCAGAACGCAGTGCCCAAGGCGACCCAGAGCCGGGTCGGGGGCTGCCTCTCGCTTCTTGCTGCTTCCCCCTTGTGGTCATTTCGGGGAGTTGCAGCCTCCTGGCAGTCACTGGAGAGTGACTCTGAAGATGACGCTTTTAAGAACCAAGGACCTAACTGACTCCTGAATTTGATTTAGGGCAGCGGTCCCCAAAACCTTTTTGGCACTAGGGACCAGTTTCATGGAAGACAGTTTTTCCACGTGGGGGTGCGGGGGGGTGCAGGTGGAGCCTGCGTCCAGGTCCTTAACAGGCCAAGGACGCAGGCCACTGGTACCCATACCGGACCGCAGCCTGGGGGTTGGGAAGCGCACATTTAGGAGAAAAAAATATTTTTTCACATTAAAAAATAAATAAATGAAATCTAAAAGTAGAGAATTATACAGTTACAATCAGAATTTAAATGATTATAATCTTTTTTAAATGCAGCAAGCATGCATTTCAGTGTGTGTGTGGGGGGGGGGTTTGTTTGTTTCTTTGTGTTTTTTTAGAGACTGGGACTCATTCTGTTGCCCAGGCTGCAGTGCAGTGGCCTGATCATAGCTCGCTGTAGCTTGAACTCCTGGGCTCAAGCAATCCCACCTCAGCCTCCTGAGTAGCTGGAACTACAGACACAGACCACCATATATGGCTATTCTTTCTTTCTTTTTTTTTTTTTTTGTAGAGACAGGGTCTCCTTTGTCACCCAGACTTGTCTGGAACTCCTGGACTCAAGCAATCCTCCCACCTCAGCCTCCCAAAGTGCTGGGATTACAGGCACGAGCCACCATGCAGGACTC